ATCTTCAATAGAAACAGCGTAAAAGTGAGCTACTCGTGCATGAGCAACATCAAGAGCGTTATCTCCAACCGCAATCAACACCTGCTTGGAAAAAGCAACCAGCCAGAAAGTAAAGAAATGTGTAACTGTCATGATAAAGACAAATGTCCGCTTGACAATAAATGTTTATCAACCAGTGTTGTATACAAAGCAGAAATCTCGACAAGTGACGGCGAAGAAACGAAGGAGTACATTGGAATGACGGCGGGGACGTTCAAGAAGAGGCATGCCAACCATAAAAAATCACTAACTGTTCCTCGGTATTCAGCGGAAACAGAATTATCAAAGTATGCGTGGAAACTCAAGAAAAGCGGGAAGCAATACAACATCAAATGAAGCATACTAAAGCGTGCCCGTGCGTATACGGCTGGTGCAGCAAGATGCAATCTGTGCCTTGAAGAGAAGGTTTGCTTACTGGAAGCTGACAAAAGCAGGATATTGAATAAACGCTCAGAAATATTCGCGAAATGCTGCCATAGAAATAGCTTTAGCGCGCGCAAATTTGAACGCACGCGAGATGCGTCAGCAAACCGTTAGTTTAGAGCACGTCATTGAATCAACTTCATTCGCCTGAAGATCGCTTCGAAAGAAGCGTGAAACACAGTGTGGCGACAAATATATTTTAAGAATTATATATATATATATATATATATATATATATATATATATATATATATATATATATATATATATATATATATATATATATATATATATATATATATATATATATATATATATATATATATATATATATATATATATATATATATATATATATATATAAAGTGCAACGACTCAACAAATTCCACTAGGCATCTTTATTACTATTAGTTTCGTAGCCTTAAGGCTAATTTATCTGATGAGTGCCACATCTTGTGGTACGAAACTAATAGTAATAAAGATGCCTAGTGGAATTTGTTGAGTCGTTGCACTTATTTAATTATGCTCTGGATATCCATTGAGCACTCTGCCAAATGTTTTTATATATATATTTATATATATTTATATATATATATATATATATATATATATATATATATATATATATATATATATATATATATATATATATATATATATATATATATATATATATATATATATATATATATATATATATATATATATATATATATATATAGATTACAGATATTTCACAGCACACTCCCTATCAGGGCTTGTCAGTGACTGGTTACATTATGAATAGATAGATAGAACCGGACTGAAAGTGAAGCAGACCGAGGTAGACTTTGAGCTTACAAATGGCGCTTGAGCAGCCGCTATTAGTCCATACCTCATTAATGATCTGCCTCCAGACCTAAGTGCCTAACCCACCCTGTCAACTTTCCCTGTGGGAGGAAACACGGTGTACCCGGAGAAAATCCACGACTTTCTGCAGAGCGTTGACTTTTACTCTTTTCACATGAAGACTGGGTTCGAGTCACATTGAGAAGTTCTCACTGAGATTTGAACCTACGGCCTTAGAGGTGAAAGGCAAGTGCGCTAACCACTTGGCCACCGAAGCCCCATTATATATATATTAGAGCTCGGCAGCTGGCCCCTGTGGTTCGGTTGGTTGGGGCGCTGCACCGGAATCGCAGGCTAGGGCTGCAGGCCCTAAAATTCGAGCAGCCAGATGCTAATGTGAAAAAATAGGTACGCATTGCGTACATGTGGTTACCCCATTGGGTGTAGTGGTAGACAGACAAAAGATTAACTGCTGGTCAACAGTCTGGACAAAGCAAATTCTGATTCGTTTGTACATAGTGGAAAGTTTGAGCGAAAATTATAGCCATATTCTGTTCTTTACTTCCTAGCAGTAAAGTCTACTAGAAAATTGTAGAAAATAAAAAGAGTTAACGGAATAGGCAATCAGTCCAGCTTTTAGTTTATGCGTGCAGGGGACGATGGGAAGCAAGGTATTGCATTGCAGATTATGCTGAAAATATTAAAATAGTGGCCGTGTAGACACGGAGTGATAGCTAATACTTGTTAATATTGAAATATTTCGGTTGTTTAGGTAGTTTTTATTGAAATTTTTCAGCATAATCGGCAATATGATACCTTACTTCCCATCATCCCCTGCGCGCATAAACTAAAAGCTGGAATTGCCTATTAAACTGGTGAACCTAGTTTCAAATTCTGTCTTTGAACTATGAAAGTAATTTCTTAAGGTTTTGCTTCGAAGCGATGAAAAATTTAATGACCATTTGAACAAAATCTAAACAGCATTCCTTGGAGGAATGCGTGCGTTCAGAAGGTCGGAAAATTTAACCAACTTCTTAATCAAAATCTAACCAACTTTATGAAAAGACTTGACTAATGCTTATAAATTCTTTAAGTTTACTCGCAAACCAGTGGCGTGGAGGGGAGAAAACCATATTCATTGAGAAAAAAGGAAAGGTTTCACAAAATAGTAAAAAGGGATCCAAATTTCACTAATTCCTGCTTTTCGGGGCCACCCGTTGCAAATTTTCGAGCCTTCTATAACTGAGGCTCGGGGCAATTTGCTTGCCAATGTACTAGCAAAAATAATACATTCTATTCAAATTCAACAAAATACGTGGAACTAAGTCTAAGCCTAAGCACATTCTAACAAATGCTTTTTAAATTACCTTTACACATGCTTTAAAAACAAAGTTCTTTAGAAGAGAGTATTGTTCTTTTGACTTCTATCTTCTAATGTCTTTTACAAACTCTTCATAACTTCTCCTAACATCTTTCTTTCTTGAAGAGTTGAGCGCAACTAAGCGTCTTCACGAATACCCCAACTCTTTTGACTTTTTAAAAACTTGCCTCGTGTATGACTGTGCGAATTTAATCGGTTAGATTAATTCTCTACTTTTGATTGGTCGGAGTGTAACAAAGAAATAACTCTGATTGGTCCAATTTGACAGCTTCAATTGGTTTGATTTCCCATACGGATATTGCTAAATTGTTCTTAAATGAGTATGCAAACATTTAGTGTGATAAACAAGATTATGTAGATTAGTCTACTAATTCATATATGTCAGGAGCAGAATATATTCAAATATAAAACAAATTCCATACGAAAATACTATGAGGTCAATTTCTTTGTCTCATCAGGAAAGTTGGTGGAACGCTACCGCCACCCGGAAATTTGAAGCCAAACTTGAAGACCAGTCCCATGTGAAGAGCGCGGTCAATTCGTCAACACATAGTTAATATAATTATAATCTCATTATATTAACTATGGTCAACATGAAATATGTATTCTTGAAAATCGGCTTAAAATTTCCAAAAAAAGGCTTTTGAAAAAAAGGCATGTTCGCTCTCCCTGAACTGGTCTCGCGAGAGAATCGCGAAGCCTAAACACGCGAGTCTTGACCACATACTTGGCTTCAAGAAAAAGATAGGCAGTTTATCTAAGGTAGCATTCATTTCACTGGCAGAAACGAGAACCTCCATTTCCTGCGTTTTGGCTCTGGTAAGACACAAGTAACAATGACAATTTTTGTATTTATCCCGTTTTTAAAATATTCTTCAGAAATCTTGTGTGGATCAATGAGTTTTCTTTTCTGAGGTTTTGAAACAAACAGATATGCAGAAATACAGCAACTATAAAACAGCGTGTTAAATTTTAACCCAGAGTTAGAGAAGGGGCTGGGATTGGGGTGAAGATCAAAGAGAAATATATTCGTGCGCGAAAATGAGTATATCACGTAAATATCCAAGTACATTTGTATGTAGAAACCGAAAATGATCAAATGTGCACAGGGCCGTACACAAGAGAAAATATATTTACGATTTTTAGAATGACATCATTAATTATTCTTTGGGTATTTGAGACTTTTTTCGGCATATAGGCCTTACTGCCCCCCTGGTGAAAAAATCCTGCGTACGGCCCTGCATGTGAAGCGATTATTTCCAGAATTTGACATTTCACAAATTTAAATTTCTACACTGTACAATGGACCATTTGCATTATAGACTAAATTTTGATCTAGACAAAAATCACAAAATTAGCATCACAAAATTAGTAATAATCCAAAGTTTCGTTGCGAAATGTTGTAAAATGCGGCCATATAGCCTTGCGAAGTTTGCCGTTTTTCAGTCATTTTGTATTACGCACGGGAAATTGACAGCCCAATCGGGTGTTGTGGCATCAATTTCCGTTTGTAATACAAAATGACTGAAAATTGCAAATTTCGCAAGGCTATATTATCCGCATTTTACAACAATTCGCAACGAAACTTTGGAATATTACTAATTTTGTGATGCTCTTTCAAGCTGTGATGAAATTTTTGTCTAGATCAAAATTTAGTCTATAATGCAAATGGTCCATTTCTACAAAACAAATAAGTCGTTCTGGGTCCGGTTGTTCAAAGCTGGATTAGCGCTAACCCTATTGTGTGCGAAACAAGAGGATATAACCGATATTTAACACACATTTTCAGCGGTTAACTCCATGCCGCAGTACCTTCTAGCGCAATGAAGCATATTTACTGATCTCTCACATTTTGGCTCTGCGGAGGAGACCTTTTTCAATTGCACTCCGATATGGTTGGAAAACTGATCCTGCGTTACATTAAAAAGCATACGCAAACACGCATTTTCTTCACTTTTAATATATAAACTTTCACGCAAAATTAATCTTTTATAAATATAAATACATGCAAATTCGTGAACTGTCTATACACAAATATTTATGAAATTTGTACAATATTAGGTATAACCGATTATTTACAAATTATTATGATGTAGTACCCATGTTTTACAAATACTATCAAAATTATGAGAAATCCATTGCTCTTGAAGTTTCTTATAGCGATCTTGACACAGAAACAAAGGCTTCCCTCGTCTGAAAAAAACAAAACATGTACATCGATTTAACAAGAAATCAGCAGATTTTGCTCCGGTACAGTACACGTGGTACAAGATTAGAAATGCTTAATCTATTATGAAATTCATCTCTTGGCCATATCGGTAGGTCCATTCAACCAGCCATATATTTGGACAAATTCGATAACCCTTGTTATTATATATTCAAAGTCTATTCTCGTTTGTGATTGGTCAAAACGCGTCGGATAATTCTCGGTATCTTGAAGCCTTGCACGCTGTGGTTACCAAGCCCCGGTGCGCTCCATTGTTTGCTAAAAAGCGCGCGAAAATTCCATATTTTTAAAAGCGTAAACAATGGCTTTGCTTTCTTTCTAGCTTTTGAATATATAATAAAACAATTATTGAATTCGGTTTTCGTGTGATATCGAGAATTATCGAAGTCTCGGTTTGTGTCAGTATCCATCTCAGCCTTCGACTTCGATGGAATATTCTCGATATCATACTCAACCTCATTCAACAATTGTTTATAATTGTTATCGAAACGAAAACGTCGGGAGGTTTCCGCGATTTTAAATTATTACAAAGTGATTCAGGTAAAGATCTCACCTTAAATCAATATCTTCCTCGCCAAATTCATCGAGATAAACCGAGCCCCAAACACTTGCTTTCTCACCACGTATTACAAATACACTTGACGACATTAATATTAAGAAAATTGCAGTACCATAACCACATTCCATTGCGTGCTGAAACACAAACATATGCAGATGTTTTATATAACAGATGTTTTATATAACTTGTAAAACAAAGACTACAGTGATTTCAAAAAGACTTTATGAATCTATTCTTTTGTGCAAGTTACGTCATTGTAGCTGCCATACCATAATGTGATTGTTTCCTATATAATTTCATTCAATATGGCGAACATCAACCTCGACTCCAGGTCTCGTGTTCTACCACAACGAGGCCCTGGGGATGAGATTGGGAGAATATCTCTTTGTCCTTTGAATTCCCGGGAATTACTCGGTAGCAATCGGCCCTGCGATTCCAGGGACCTAAAGTTGCATTTTTCGCAGCTGTTCTTGGTTATGTCTAATAAATGTTATAAATTATTAGTATAATTACATAGGTGATTATTGAAAATTCTCCACGCTGATTGGTTGCCGTTGAGGTGATTATTACGCGATAATCACCTAAGCGATTTTCAAAATAGCGGCCGAAGCCTTTTTGTCAATTAAATGACAAAGAAATGTGTATTTTTTTTATTTTTTCCATATAATCACCTATGAAATTATACTAAAACAATTATTCACCTCAGGCTCGGTGATTATCGTGAATAAAAACCTCGACTTCGTCTCGGTTTTTATTCACCGATAATCACCTCGCCTTCGGCGAATAATTGTTAATTATTATCATCTTCATACTTATCCAGGATACCCACATCACCGAAGTGTTTTTCAGTGGGGCCCTGCAACTTTAAATTACAGTATATTAATTCAATATTTAGTCGTGCACTATTTACAGCAACACATATATACAATATAATTATTTAAGAGTATTAATAAAGTCTGATTTCCACTCCAATCGAAACGAAACACAACGCACTTCTTTGTTTCAAGGGCATCAAATTCTATCTGAATGCTCACGAAACAAATACATTAAAATTTCCACACGATAACTTCCATCTACAATACCTTCAACTATTTTATTGAAATTTAGTGCTATACAAAGTCAGTAATTCAGTGCATTTTTGAATATATTTAAATTTGTGCAAAAAATTATTTTCGTAATAGAAAACGTTTTGCTGCAAAATATTTTAGTCATGTTATATGATAAGAAACATTTTGAAGATTTTGTCCAGGGTTCGTAGTCTCCAAGACCAAAAAATTCAACGACTTTCAAAGATTTTTTCTGCCTATTTTTAAAGACTTTTCAAAGACCTTTGAGAGCAATCAGCCACAAAAATTGCGAGTGTAAGCCCCATTTTTACCCAGTAATTAGTCCCGCCAAATCACATCCTAAAATGCGCATTTTCGTCGATATTTGCGAAAATCTTGATTCAATCAATCTATTTTATTAGCTAGGAAATCGTATAATCAATTCCTCACCAAGACTTTCTTCGTTTTTTCACACAATGTAAAGACTTTTGAAAGACCTCAAAGACCTGCATTCCAATTTAAAGACTTTCAAGGATTTCAAAGACCACTACGAACCCTGTTGTCATACATATTAATAAGTTCTAGCATGGTGTCTCATGATAGTCTTACCGGTCCATGTTTTTTTACCGAATTGTACAGTAAACTGTACCATTACTTATAAAAACTGCTCAACGAAAATCACCAGCATTTAAGGCTATCAATATTATTCAGTAATACGTCATTTCGCTTGTCAAAAAGTGAACTTTTAGAACGTATACAACGCCGGATTACAAATGTTTAAAAAAAAAACTAACCTCATTGGTCATTATTTATCTGGTGAGATAGGACAATCTTTGTTTCGAATTCGCAGTTGAATAACATGTTTTGAAACAAATTTCCCAGCCAAAAATATAACTCACGATTCATCTTGAGGCCGAGTGCGGATAATCAATGCAAATATATGCATTTTCAATTCCCAAAGCGGACATTTCTTTTGTTACATCGCGGTCATTTGGCGTCATTTGAAAACAGAAAATTTTGCATAAAATGAAGCAAATTTTGCATAAAATTAAGCAAAATACAATCGCGAAAAAATACCGATATATCGGTATTTTTTTTCCGGTGTCGGTTTTCGTTTTTTTTTTTTTTTTTCAAATACCGCAACAGCCTATTATTCCCTTCCATTTGCATCGTCCATGCCTTTTGAGAAAGTCAAGTAAAGAAACTGTTACAATAATAATGATATCTAATGAGAGAAACCCATCTTGCCGAAGCGGTTTTGAGTGGGGCAGGATGTACAAACTGCTAACTGTTGGTGTCATGCAATCAATTTTCCTAATGTTGCTGCATGCCCACAAAACCCGCAGGTTAATTCTTTACACGATATATGAGTTAAGGTGGCTCGATACAGTTTTCAAAAATTCAGGTGTTTAACACTTTGACATGTTCAAACTACGCATTTTTAGGATTTATTCAGCAGATATTGGTTTTTTTATATATTTTGATAACTCTACTTTCAAATTATATTAGTTTTAGTAACAGAGAGTTCGTTGCTATGACGACATACGTGTACGAAATTCCCTCCAAAATGGCCTATCTTCTCGTATAGTTGGAAAAATGGTGACCCCCAATTTTTTTTCGTGCATTATTTTACTTGGACAAAAAGCTAACAATGAACAAAATATAAAAAAATTCTGTAATGCCATTTTTTTGGAAAATGCGAAAATGTCATATTCTTCGGTAAAATTTTTTTGGCACTACAGAATTTTTATATTTTTTGTATAATGAAAGTTTTTAGCGATACAATACAGCATGCAAAATTTGAACATAGGTCACCAGATAAAATAAAGAGATATAGCGCCATTGGTTTTTAAAATGGAAAATTCTAATGACGTCAGCAATTGACATAAAACGCTATAGAACACGCGCAATGGCGTGATATGGCGCGAGCAACCGCTCACGTCAGGTCATTTTGGAAGTTCTTTCATTTTGTTAATCAGTTTCCGCGACCTGCGCGTAAAAATGGTCACCCTGTTTTGAGTTCGCGATTCTTGCATGAGCAGGGTTTTAGTGATAACTATATCGAGCCACCTTAAGAATATAATGGACCATTACTTACCCTTACACATTCACGTGTATTTTGGCGTTCACAACATTTGCCTCGCAAGCAAAGGAATGTTCCACATACCAAGCATAGCGTTGGTTCATCAGGTATGGTGTCACATGTTTCACATGATTTTTTCCGATATGTTTGAAATAAACTGAAAATACAGCGTATAAATAATAAATTAAATGCATTTAAATATATAAAGTACTTGCGCAACAAATGTTCCCAACTAAGTGTCCTTTAAATGACGAAGTAAGATATTTTGCCAAACGTTCATAGCTTGGGGGTATTAAATACAAACCAAAAATGAACATTTTTGTGATTGATTCATTCTTTAGATGTATTGTGTTTCACTCTCATGATCAACCAATCTCTGTAATCACAAAACCTGCATGTACACTGTATATAGGTTGGTGGCGACCTTTAGCTTGCTCTTTAGCTTGCTTACTTGCTTGTACTGACCGATCAGGTCACAATCGGAAATTATCGATGCTCCAAATCACAATCGGCCCGATTCCGATCCCAAACTAGTTGACTGACGTCATTCAATTTGTATGTAAATTGCATAAACAATTTTAAATGGCTTTTCGGCCAAAAACAAACTAGAAAAAAACCGGCATTTAAGGCATCATTTTATCACAAAAGAAAGCAATTTTCCACCCACTAAGCAGTTCATGGCTTTGCAAAAGAGACTTCGATATTCTTCAGCTTGGTAGATTGAGTGCCTCTAAACAATTATATTATTTTCAAAATAATCGGTTGTATACAATCAGAAATTAAATACATTACATGCTGGAACTTTTACCGATTCCGATTGTCGACTGATAAGCAATAATCGGCCCGATTCGGTCAATCACTACAAGCGAATATCAATATGATGTCACAGTGTACAATGATTGGCTGCAGGAAACTCTTGAAATATAGGATATGATACGCATGGACGGTTTCGTAGTTTTATACAAAACATATCAAGATCTTGAAGTTTTTTTTATTATTTTAATATTATAGCTCTCTATTTTTCTTTATATAGTCTTTGCTGTTCAGTCTTTCTTTCTCTAGCTGTATAAGTTTTTCTTTACACCATCTCTTTTCAATGCCTCCTCAAGTAAATAGAAGATTAGTTATACTTACCGACAATAGCGTTCAGGTAACTCCACTAATCTTGGTATCTCCCATTGATCCATGCCTGGAAATAAATCCTAGAACATGCAAAAGAGTGAAAATCGATAAACGCATTTATTAATAACGTATAACGTCTTTTTTAAACTCCGGTTCCGATCGGAATCTACAGTAGTTCCGGTGCAGCCCGAACCTGAGACAAAATGACATATTTTTTTCTTCAGGAACTATGATAAATACACTCGTTTTAGGAATAGTTTATTTGCGTTCGGTTTTCTGTTGGCCCAACAAAACCCAACGCCTAATTAGATATTCTACAAGCATGCACTTGGGCGTGAATTAGCATATTGCGCGTGATACTCAAATACAGACCTGGAGCGAGTATGTTGGGTTTTATTGAGCCAACAGAAAGCCCAATGCAAACACTCTATTCCTAAAACGAAACTCAAATGATTATAAAATATCGAGTTCCTACTGGACATCGGCAATGAAATTACAGACTACAGTTTATCTAGTTAGAAAGAAATCTATTTTAAGTTTCCTTATTTTTCCCGATATCTTTCAGATTGTTTGATATGTGAGTGCCTGACTCGAAGACGTGAGAGGTAGGTTTGAACGACTATTGCCTTGCCAATCATGTCCATCTTATTTGCAAATCAAATAACCTAGATATCCAGTCGAAAATAAAAATGTTGAAAAATTGATTTAGCTTCGTTTTCGTTTGATGTAGCAAATCCTACACACAGTAGTCAATCATACTGTACCTTAGGAAACGAGTCATGTCGATGAGAAACATGACGTAGTTGTTTGCACCAAGTTTTAATCAATGTTAACGGAGGTTCGTGTGACCAATTAAAACAGTCAGTAATGGAGAATGCCGAGGAAGGGACAGTTTCGTTATGAAAACCCAGTGACTTGGTTAATAAATAGAATTCATTTTCATCATCCTAAAATACAAACATCAAGCGTTTTGCTTTCTTCCACTACAGGCATTACTGCAGCTAGAACATTTAAAGTTTAACGTTGACCATTAAGTACAGTTTCTCCCACTTTGGGGACAGGTTGCCTCACTTTTTCCCCTTACGTGAGTACCCCGATTGTGGTATATATGTCATGCGCTGTGATTTATGGTCTTTGGACATAAAAGAACCTTCGTCTTCAGTCTGGAACCATGGGAAACGTCATGCCATTATTACTTGCTATAACTAACTTTGCTATATAATAACTTCCCGACGAAGAGTCTTCGCTCGAAACGTCCTGCTTATATTTTTCGGTAATTGTATCTCTCTCAAAATCCGCAGCTGTCTTATTATACTTATCATAAACCTATAATGAGACTGTGATTGGTTGATTTCAGTGCAGTTAATCCCAAACAGCAGTGCAATTTTCTGTAATCACAGTGCAAAAATCTGTAACAAAATGATCTGATTGGTGATGATTAAATCAACCAATCAGTTTAAAGCAATTTAGTTTAAAGAAGTAACGGTCACAGATTGCTTCAAAACAAAACAAATATGGCGCCGCGCTACACAAAGTAAAGTTGCCTTCGCGTGGAAAATATGGCTTTTATCTTTATTTTTAAATGGAAAAGCATTTACCTTAAACAAGACTAACAAAAATTACATAGTTGAGTGGAATTTTCAAGCTGTTAGCGTTGTATAATGTGATATAACAAAGCCAGGAAAACTTTGCCAGTGGAATGTTCGCTATAAACGCGTAAGTTAAAACTACAATTGTCTCGAACATTTTTATGTAAATTATTAATAAGTAATAGCATGGTTTCTCGTGAAATTTGGATATAACATGCACTCGTGAGTTTTTCAAAGATCTCAAATAGCACTCGTCCTTCGGACTCGTGCTATTTTGAGGTCTTTGAAAAACTCACTCGTGCATGTTATATCCAAACTGCACTCGAAACCATGCTATTACCTATACTTATCATAAACCTACATGTAATGAGACTGTTTTGAAAAGTTTCAATCCCCCGGGAAATCAGACGAGAGTTTTACAATAATATATCTCTAGTTGCGTATTTCAAATATAAAATTCACAACTGACCTGTGTAGCAGAACATTCAGTGGAATAACATAACGTGGACAAGGAAGAGACAAGACGTAGAAATGGTAGACAACATTTCTGAAGAGTGGCTTCAACAGAATGTGGAGACCACACTGATTGCGAAATCTAGAATTGAAAATCACAAAACAAAACGAGTTAGAGGTGTGTTATAACCCATATGATAATAGAGGATTAGCCTATATATCGTTTTGCAAAACCGCCCAGGGTCGTTGCCAAGGCTTTGCCTTGGGGGGTGAGGTTAGACCATGGTTGGCGCCGAGGAATTTTTTTTGAAAATTTGAAGTCTCTAGACCGTCGGAAATGGCATTTTTAGAGTCTTTCCTACCCAATATTTCAATATTTTAGTATTGCCTAACAATGAAGATAAGTATTGCTACTTACAGTTTATTGTGACTAGGAAAATTGAGAAACGTTTTGAAATCAGGAGTCTCCAGATCGTCAGAAATATTATTTGGCAATTATCCCCCTGCTACAACACGTCTCAACGTCCTTAGTTTGTTCGCCGGATTGTTAACTCTAATTCTGATTCAGACTATAGAGTTCACTTTTTTATGCCCTGAGAATTACCTGAATTTACCTGAAAATCTACTGGAAATCTACCTGAAATTGCTCATGAACAATGTTAGGGGGTGTTACACCCTCCCCCCCACACACACACACCCCGGTCGCTACGGCCCTGAAACCGCCTGTAGGGTAAAAGCCTTGGGTAAAAGCAAGGTTTGAAGAACTCCTCTTTGAGAACATTGTAGAAGGGTTTTGGAGATGGAAATTTCGAGTGTAAATTTTAGTTCTATCGAGTGTGATGCCCAAAATCCACGTTGGCATCATCTATTTTTCCATGAACTTGTGGTTAGTGCTTAACAACTGGACTCTGCAGCTCAGTTGGTTAGAACGCTGCACCGGAAACGCAGGGCCGCAGGTTCGGTTCCTGGCAGAAGGCCTATAGTTGTATTTTTCGCAACTGCTCCTGGTAAGGTCTAATAAATGTGTATAAACTTTACACTCGAAATTTCCATCAACAAAACCCTTCTTACAATTAGTTCTATCGAGTGAGATGCCGACATTCTAAATCTTTGAGAACATGCCTCATGTGACAAAAACCCTTTTATTCAAATGTTCGAACTTTTCGACAAAGGTAGCGGCGTTCCGAGATGAAAAGCGCGAAAGTCAGAGTCGAAAACGAGTTTTTGATGTGGTAATAGGCCATCATCAGAGCAATGATATACGTACCCCGGGACATTCTTCTGTGGCTTGGCATAACTTACTGTCAGCCAACTGAAGACAAACATAACCCAGTAAAATATCTGTAGACAAGTGAACATCACCGAGTCGCTGCGAAAAAAAAACAGTTCCACGTTATCAGTTCCGTTTTTCATACGACTCCATAGTTCAGAATATGGTTTCCGTATAGGTGTGAATCGTATTATTATGAAAATCAATGATCAGCATATGTAATGCGTATAGGTAATGTGGTTGGTTGAAAGAAGCCAGGTAAGGCGAAGCACAATTTACCAGGAATGCAGCAATAAGTTATTACGTGACTGTTATTCGTTATAGTTAATTATTAGTTGCAATTCTTCGAGGTAAAACTTCTTGTTAAAGCCGGTCTACACAATACGATTAGTCGTGTACGATTTTCATTCTGGCGTATATGCAAGGCTGTGCGCAGGATTTTTTCACCAGGGGCCAGTTGTTCAAAGCTGGATTAACTTAATCCTAGGTTAACCTAAAATTCAAAGCAAACTTCCCAACAGCTTGTTTATAAATTTGGAAATATCTCTTTAGAAATCGTGTCTGAATCAGTAGGAGTTTTCTTCTCTGAAGTTTTGAAACAAACAGACGTGCAGAATTTTAACCGAGCGTTAGCGTTAATCCAGCTTTGAACAACCGAGCCCGAGGGAGTAGTAGTACCTATATGCTGGAATAAGTAACCAAATATTAACGCATTCAGATCAAAGCCAAATATCAATGCATTCAAAGCCCCCCCCCCTAGGTACGGCCCTAGGCGTATGTAAACGAATAATCACGCAAAAAAATTTCGCCATGAACTAAGTGAATAAGAACTGTGGGGTCAACAGTAATTTTCACACGCCAAAATAATCGTATCGTTTAGATAGGCCTTTAACTCCTTTAGGAGAATAGTAGCCTCCATGTGAGCCTGAGACGCAGGCTAGGACACGCAGGCTGGGAGAATAGTAATACACAACATTCAAGAATGTAGAAACTGTAGCATACTACTTATGTGACACCTTGATACGCAAGGTTGAATTAAATTTACCTTGCATTTCTTTGGATGGAACTGCCAAGATGTTCTCTCATCCTCAGTGAGAGCACAGTATGTTTTAACTAACGCCTAGAAATCACACATACTTATATTATTACTTCATTTTGGAAATAATATAACCAGTGGAATCCTGTTATTGCATGGCTTACAGCAATATGGACACTTTTATTATCGTAAATATAGAAGAGAATCTGAATGCTGCAATTTTCAAAACTTGGAGATAGGATTAAATTTACACCTGAGTTAAGCCCGTTCTCCACTAGGCGAATTTGTTCGCGCGAACAGTAAAAAGTAGGAACTGATCCAACTTTTTCGCGGCGAATTTTTTCGCTGACCAATCACATTGTCAAGATTTGTTTTTCGCTTCGCGTCGCGCGAAAAAATTCGCCTAGTGGAGAACGGGCTTTAGCCTTCCTTATGCCATGCAACCAGGGCGGAAAATAAACAGCAACAAGCGAAGAAGTGCATTTAGTGAAGGAAAGACACATCATTAGTATTGTTTAAAACTACTATTTACGTCACTAAATTCACTACTTCATTTGTTGCCATCCTCTGTTCCTGCGCGGTTCCCCGCCCTCCAAATGGTGGGCAAGGCCTGGTCGCATAGCGTGAGAACGGCTAATATACACTTCCTGAACGTACGTCACCTTGGCTATTGAGCTTCGTTGTCGTGATGGCTCCGCTGAACTTTAACTAACGCCATGTACACGAAAACGAGGCTCTATGGTCAAGATGACATACTTTCCGGAAGGGTGCATTGATGTATTGAAGCAACTCACTTGAACCAAAACAACGTTGAAAACAATCTGTACCAAACACTGAAAACACTCTATATAAAACAAGGGACGTATGTCAGGAAGTATAAAGAAGAGTATCTGCCACTATTATATAGAATACTTACATTATCCCTCTTGCGTTACACAATTAATTCACAACAATAACAAAGAACTTACTAAGACTAAGTGGTGCAGGCCATGATAAAACAAGTTGAAGAAGTAAACAAACACAATCTCTTAACAACAACGGAACATCATTTATTGGAATATCTTCATCTGACCTAAAACAAAACCACGTGATATGTTGAATCTGCTTCAACATATCTTTCTCTTTACTGTAAAACATCTACAATCCTGGCCAAAACGTTGTGGACCCACAGACATTGGACTCGGTGGTGTTTTTTTCTAAATTGGGATTTTTCATCAAATAAGAAGTGTATATAATTCGGACATCAACATTGAAGAGGGAGATATGCCTGTAAATTCAAGTTTTAGCTGTTTGTTATGATTTTTGCAAAAGTGGATTAAGTGTCCACATGAGTTTTGGCCCGGACTGTAGAAAATTTACAACAAACTATTGAATTCGCCAATCAAGTGCATAAGAAAATCTGTTTAGGACATGTTGGTCTATAATACACAGTTTAATTCTATTTCAAACGCGCATGGGTACAATGTAGGTAGGTAGTATTTGGTCACTCACCATCTGGGGGTCGCTACCAACCTATATATGAACGAGATTTGTGATTGGTTGATCATAACAATAACAGACAATGAACTATAGAAATTAGCGTCATAAACACTAATCACTATTGTTTTATGAATCACAAAACACGATCATTTTAGGTTGGTATTTACTCCCATCTGGATGAAGGGCCATTGTTGCAACATCTGCGCTAGTATAAAATATTTTTAGTCTTTCATGTAGTTCAGACACAAGCCACGCAAGCTTATCTTAGAATATTAGAAAGTTACAAAAAGACTAAACAGACGGCTATCTAGTAAAACTGCCAGTCATTTTACAGCTGATATTTCATAATTAGTAATATAAAAAGTATTTTTTTACGGCAGCATTCAGCGACAAGCCTGCCGGTGGCGTTTATCTACAAGCTCGAACATTGGTGGTTCAAATCCCATCCAAGACTTTCTTTACACTTTTTCCGACTTGTTTCCACTCTTAAATTGTTTCATAGCGTTAGTAAGGGTTGGGGGTGGGATCGGTTTAAAAAAAAATTTAACTATAGTGACTATAAAGTTTTACTAAATAGCCAGCTGTCTATAGTAACAGGGTTAAAGTTATTGCAATACACATTCTATTATCCAGATAAAAAAGATTGCAGAAACTTACTTTGTTCCGCACGATTCCAGAGATCGCCCAGTCAAAAGGGCAAAGACATGACACAATGGACGAACAAGTGTCTGACACTGGAATTGCAGCGTTCGTAACAATGTACCTATAGATAGAAATCAATCGAAACAAGACATAAATTTATATCCTCAAGGCTGAGAATAATAAATCGCCTTAAGAACAAGACGGCGATGAGAACAAAACTGTATTGATCAATTACCGTAGAAACGTTCTCTCGTGCATGATAGTTTCCCAGCTTGCATTGCTATATGTTCGGCCTCAAGATTGGATCTATATAGAACATCAAAAAGCCTCACGAATACATAATTCCTAACAATAAAACTTGGAAAGGAGTAGCACTTTTAAATAATTTATTTGTTCCTCTATTTAGAAAAAAGTCACTCAATCTGCAGTGATACTACTCAGTTGGAGTGAGATTGTGTCAGGTGGAATGAGGTGGTGTGAGATAGAATGAGGTGGTGTTAGGCGAGAATGAGGTGGTGTCAGGCGGGAATGAGGTGGTGTCAGGCGGGAATGGGGTCGTGTGAGGTGGAGTGAGGGTGTCAGGTAGAATGTGGTGGTGTGAGATAGAATGAGGTGGTGTCAGGCGGGAATGGGGTCGTGTGAGGTGGAGTGAGGGTGTCAGGTAGAATGTGGTGGTGTGAGATAGAATGAGGTGGTGTGAGATAGAATGTGGTGGTGTGAGGTCGAATGAGGTGGTGTCAGGCGGGAATGGGGTGGAGTGAGGTGGAGTGAGGGTGTCAGGTAGAATGAGGTGGTGTGAGATAGAATGAGGTGGTATGAGTTAGAATGAGGTGGTGTCAAGCGGGAATGGGGTCGTGTGAGGTGGAGTGAGGGTGTCGGGTAGAATGAGGTGGTGTGAGATGGAATGAGGTGGTGTCAGGTAGAATGGGGTGGTGTAAGGTGGAAAGAGGTGGAGTGAGGTGGTGTAAGGTGGAATGAGGTGGTGTAAGGTGGAATGAGGTGGAATGAGGTGATGTAATGTAGAATGAGGTGATGTGAAATGAAATGAAGTTGTGTGTGGTGGAGTGAGGTATAGGATGATGAAGTAGAAATCCATGTTATTTTTTATGGACTGCTTGCACATGTTACCTTGCAGTCTCGACAATGAGTGAAAACTTGTGTTGAAAAACCGTCATATTTTCACGTTCTTTACTTAAATTCAAGCGATTAATTGAGTCCACCAAGAATGTCACAGATGTGCTTAAAACACTTGGTTGGAGCGCACTTGTCGTTAACTTTGACCAGTTCTAAACGAAATTATAAGTTTTAGCTAAAACCAGTTTAATGCATAAAGATTAAACTACGTCATGGCATCTACTCAAAATAGAATAATTCATTCAATCATATTGTGGTTAATTGAATATGCGTGTCACAATCATGCGCATTTGGGTTTTCGCCAACAGGCAATTCGAGCTATAGACTAAATTTTGATCTAGCACCACAGCTAGAAAGAGCATGGTAAATTAGTAAAATTGCAAAGTTTGGCCGCGAAATATTGTAAAATGCGGAAAATATAGCCATGCGAATTTGCAAATTTTGTATTAATTTGTATTACGCAAGGGATTTTCCCTGGTACATTTTGTACCACATTTGGGCCGAAAGTGGTGCATTTTCCCGTGCGTAATACAAATTAATACAAAATTTGCAAATTTCGCATGGCTTATATTTTTCGCATTTTACAACATTTCGCAACCAAACTTTGCAATTGTACTATTATAATTTTAACATGCTCTTTCCAGCTATGGTGATGAATTTTGTTCTTCTTGCCTAGATCAAAATTTAGTCTATAGCTGGAATAATCCATTGTTTTAGTTGCGCGAGTGGAAAGTTGAGCCACAACGATGCAATTGGTTAATTGGGAAAAAAATAGAACACACCATGACAATAAAGGATCAAATTTCTTATAAACGTAGAAAACATATAATGTAACGAGTTGTATTGTTTTTTCAATCCCTGCATTTCCCTGCACTATCTTAACTACGATTTAAACAACTCATCTTGCACATAAACAAATAGTGACAATATAAACACACAGGGTTCGAATTAGACAGGAAAAATCGATTCGCAAATTTCCTTCTTGAAAATTTGAAGGAAATTTCAGTTTTGAAAAGTGGAAATACTGCTTGTGCAAAACAAAATGGCGGTCGTTTCGTGGCGAATTTCGTAAATTTTCTGAAGAAATTGTAGACATGTTCTTCATTTCACACACCCTTTTAGTACAAAATTACAATAATAGTAAACCTTGTAAACCTTTTGTAAACCTTTATAATACATTGTTTTTGCAAAACCTCATTAGCAAAAAGCGAATTTACATTCGCAAATTGCGAATAGCAAGCCGCTAATTCGAACCCTGGACATATATGGACAGTAAAGTCGGGGAGTTCTAAGCTAATGTTCCTAAGCTTTTGTACGATGGCACCGTGCTACACATGGTAGCCAACCTCAACTGTATTGAAACTTATGGAAACAAATTATGCTCTTTCCACATGAGATACGGTCAAGTATACAGTTGAACACCTATTAACATATGCAGTTGCCCAAAAATTTCCGCTAAAGAGAAAAGGGGATAGTGTCGTTTGCTCGCAGACTATACGATAGAAGTATAAAGAAATAATCCTCCAACTACTCCCTAAATTTAAATATTTACGTTAAACATACGTTACTACAGGATTTCAACATCGTCGACTCCAACTCACAAAGGGTTTCTCGATGACACATTGCCTAAAAATTACAACAGCATACATTATTTTACATTTAAGACAATGGTATGGGTATGGGTATGGGTATGGGTATGGGTATGGGTATGGTATGGTATGGTATGGTAAACGTTATTTAAAGACGCTAGCTTCGTCAACAGTTTGTTGGTTTCCACAAGGGGAGTCAAATCATTATGTTCAAGATGAAACATTCAATGACCTACTAATAAGGCTATTGAGTTATTATTAGATTTATGGTTGCTTGTATTTTTACAGTACGGAATAAATTGCAGTTGAATAAAAATTGGCCATGCTTTTACGGATTCGGCACCATGCATACTAGTCTAATATATTTCCTACTAAAACGTTACATGCATTAATTCTATTTAATGTGGGTGTGTGTAGAATTATATAAATATTTTCTTACTAAAGAATACCTTATTTTTGTTACACATTGACGGCATAACATCTGATGGTAATATTGGCAAGATAGCATTTCCCAGACGTCGACAAACAGGACATTTAAATTCTTCTTTTGTAACATCATACGCGTGTGACTGATGACGATGGCTTGGTGATGTTCGCTCGTCCTAAAACAAACAATAAACCGAAATTGTAACATAATTCATAGCATTTCATACACATCCCAAAACCCACGCTACATTGCTCTTCGAGGTAAAGTATGTTTCGACAGCTTATTTTAAAACGAGCTTTCGTTGGTAGGGATGCAACTACCTGACAAATATAAATATATGAGTGTTTTTCAGGTAGTTGCATCCTGACCAACGAAAACTTGTTAATACTTTTGGCACTACCTACACTGGCACAGACAGTTCAAGATTATTCGACAGCTTACTAACTTTTTGCATAAGTCATTTTTTGACGAATTTGAGACTTTTGCTTGAATCAAGTGTCCCGATGCCCAAGTCATTTAGCCAAACAGATCCTCTGTTGTATCCCTAATAAGGTTTTTGCCTATAACTCAATCATGTGACATAAGCAATTTTATTCTTTAACTTGTGTAAATAGTTTTATATAACTCTTTTTAAACTGTCTTAAGATGAATAGTGTCTAAAAAAAGAGGCAAATAACTTCGAATTTTTAAAAAACGTTTGGAGTTTTTAAAAATTTTCTGGAAATGCCAAAAATAATTTCTGACTGCAGTTTCTCTCTTCCTAAAAAATGCGAACCAAGCTCATGCAAATATTCTTGCACCGTTTGGTCCGCATAGTTGTCACCAGTTTTCTTCGAACATTTCTGTGCTCGTGATAATATGTGAAACCTGAGAGTCTAGTTTAGTTTGTGCATTCCAATACGCCACCGTGATCAGTTGTGTCAGTAACTCTTCGACGTTATGTGCTAAGACCCTTCGTCAGGAGGCTAGTAGCCTACTATTGATTTACTAATAGGGGTGCACCGGAATCAATTTTTTAAGTTCCGGCCGGAACCGGATCTG